CCTGCAGAGGCTCACGCGTGGTACGCGCGATGCTCCACAAAAATCCTTTGGTACCAACATGCCCGGGCATTTCCATCGGCGTCCCGAGTCGAGTGCGGAGCCCTCGAAACATTGAACGTGCTGCGATGCGTCGTGCTGCCATGAGGCCGTCGCCCTTCAATGACTCCTTGATTCAGAACCGTCCTCGGCTCGTTGAGGAGAAACGCGTCCAGTGCTGGCAGGGGGCGCTGGCCAGGCGAAAACCGTCCGACTCGTGGAGGAGGCGGGCGACCAGCGTTGGCCAGGGCACTGGCCAGGCCAAGGTCGGGCTCGGGCTTGGGGGGGAGCGCAGGCGCCCGCGGCGGCCGCTGGCGCGGAGCAAGAGGCGCGCGAGGAGGACTGCCAGGGGCCTTCTTCCTCCTCCTCCTCCTCCTCATCATCATTATCATCATCATCCTCATCAGTACCATCATCATCATCAGCAGCAGCATCAGCACCAGCATCATCATTCATCATTCATCATTCATCATTCATCATTCATCATTCATCGTCCTCATCACAATCATACCCCGATCCTCGTCATCACCAGCAGCATCGCAGCAGCATCATCAGCGCAAAAGGCCACAGACAGCACGGGAGAAGGCAGAACAGCTAGGCCACGGCCTGCGCAAACTACACCCGATATGGTGGTGTGCGACATGCAGAAGTGGCCCCACCAAAGGGCAAAGTGTACGAGCCTGGCTAGCCGAGACGGGAGAGTGCCAGGGAAGAGAAAGCAGCCACTTGGACCAGCACGGGAACGTGAGGCTCGATTGCAAGACAGTGCAGATCGGCACGCGGGTCGTCCATGACACCCACAAGACGCAGCTCACGCAGGGTTGGCTCTGGTGCGAGAAGTGTGGGGCCACCAGCTACCTTGGGAACCACAAGAGCCGAATTGTTGCAGGTGTTGCGCGCAAGCTGGCCAAGCCATGTGCCCCGCCCACTACAGCGGGCCGCAGGGTCATCACGGACTTGCAAAAGGGGAGGCAGCCGCGAAGAACAAAGCAGGACGAGGACCAAGCGGCAGCCGCGCCAGTGGTGGAGGTCACGGCAGCGGGCTTCAACCCAGGAGCGAGCAGCACAGAGGTGATCGACCTGGACGGAGAAAGCTCGGAAGCAGAGACACCGCAGCCAATTCAGCCACAACCTTCAAGACATCCCCATTTAGTAGCCCAGGCTAGGTGGCGGCTGGTGGACCACATGGAGGGCTACGCGGAGCAGTGTATGAACATGGTGGACCAGGATGTGTGGAAGGACAAGGACGACTGGATGGAGCACAGTGTCCCGTACCTGCTCGCCGTCACCAACGCAGGAGGAAGGACGGGCGTTCAAGACCAGAAGAGGGCAGTCACGCCAAGGGAGATCCAGCAGATCATCGACTTCTGCGAGGACATCTGGAGGAACACCCACAGGGCGCGAAGGAAGCTCATGACACACATGCTCACCCTCCCGCACGACTCCAGACAGCAGGCGGCAAGGGTACACATGGAAGCTTTCCAGGGCAGGCGGATGTAGATCCTCACCCACAGCATCCCCAGCAGTGAGCGCAGGCCACTACCCAGCACGGCGGAGGACTACAGAGCGTGGACCCCTGAGTACCTGGACGACGGCTCCACGCAACCAGACAGTGAGGTGCCAGAGCTGGAGGGTAATGGCAGTGACCACGGCATGGACACCATTGCGACGTCTGACCAGCTCAACGATGCCACGGCCCGCGCCCAGACCAGCGCGACCTTTCAGGGGGCGCCGTGGACCGCCAAGCCGACAGGGCCCGACCTGATGAAGCACGCGCGGGAGGCCAAGGACGCAGGCATGCAGCACCCGCGACTCCGCCAGCAACGAGGAGACGAAGACCAAGACCTTGAGCAAGAGCTGGCCTGGCTAGAGAGAAACCGCCTGGAGCAGCTCATGCAATCGCTGGCCGGAGGCTGGACCCAACAAGCAGGCGAGCGGGGCTGGCAGGCGTGGAGTGCAGCGTGCGTGCCCTACGTGCTGAGGGTGCTCCAGACTGGTCCATGCCAGCGGCTCTCCAGTGACATCCCAGGGCCCAGCAGACAACACAGCCAGCGCAGGGCGGCAAAATATATCAGCCGCGTGGCCCAGCTCAACAGTGGAATGGAGCGCAGGAGGATCCAGCAGCATGACCCAATTGAGGCAGCTCGACGCAGGGACATGGCAGAACAGCTCCTCGGAGCGGTCACGCCAGCAGCTGAACAAGAAGGAGGCCCAGCACCCCAGCGCGGCGAGGGGTTAGACCGCAGCGACCCCCGGCGTTGCGAGGGGTTAGGCCACGGAGGTCCCCAGCGCGATGAGGGGTTGGACCGCGTTGACCCCCAGCGTGGCGAGGGGTCAGGCCACGACGGACCCCAGCGCGGTGAGGGGTTAGACCGCAGCAGGCCCCAGCGCGGCGAGGGGCCAGGCCAAGGAGGGCCCCAGCGTAGAGAAGGGTTAGACCGCAGCGCGGTGAGGGGATAGGCCACCCAGGACCCCGGCGCGGCGAGGCGGCAGGCCGCAGAGGGCCCCAGCGTGGCGAGGGGTTAGGCCACGGAGGACCCCAGCGCGGTGAGGGGTCAGACCGCAGCAGGCCCCCACGAGGCGAGGGATTAGGCCACGGAGGACCCCAGCGCGGCGAGGGGTTAGACCGCAGGAGCCCCCAGCGCGGCGAGGGGTTAGGCCGCGGAGGTCCCCGGCGCGGTGAGGGGTTAGACCGCGCCGACCCCCAGCGCGGCGAGGGGCTAGGCCACGGCGGACCCCAGCGCGGCGAGGGGCTAGACCGCAGCAGGCCCCCGCGCGGCGATGGGGTTAGGCCACGGAGGGCCCCGGCGCGGCGAGGGTTAGGCCGCAGCAGGCCCCCGCGCGGCGAGGGGTTAGGCCACGGAAGCCCCAGCGCGGTGAGGGGTTAGACCGCAGGGGCCCTCTGCGCGGCGAGGGGTTAGGCCACGATGGCCCCCAGCGAGGCGAGGGGTTAGACCGCGCCGACCCCCAGCGCGGCGAGGGGTCAGGCCACGGCGGACCCCAGCGCGGCGAGGGGTTAGACCGCAGCAGGCCCCCGCGCGGCGAAAGGTTAGGCCACGGAGGACCCCGGCGCGGCGAGGGTCAGACCGCAGCAGGCCCCAGCGCGGCGAGGGGTTAGGCCACTCAGGACCCCTGCGCGGCGAGGGGGCAGGCCGCAGAGCACCCCGGCGCGGCGAGGGGTTAGGCCACAGCCCTGCGCCAGGCAAGGAGGCCGCGCAGGCCCACGTGTCCAGGGATCTGCGGCCAGAGCGGCCCCTGGAAGAGCGCAGAGCCGAGGAGCGGCAGCTGCCGTCCATCAGGCTGCCCTTCGAGCTCTAAGCGCGCGGTGGCAGCATTTTCATCAGACTGCCGCCGCTCGAGGGGCGCGACTCAAGGAGTCAGCCGAGTGGCGGCAGCAAGGAAGCCGTGCGACGAGGCCGCTGGCCCACCCCGCCTCGGGCGCGTCGCCTGCGCGGGGCGCCGAGACCAGGGGGGCCCACTCACGGGCGAGCGCACGCGGGTTTAAAACTCCATCCCCCTCTCCCTCCTCTTCCTCCTCCTCCCCCATCCTCATCCTGCTCCTTCTCCCCCTCCCCCCCCCTCCTCCTCTAGGCAGGCTCGCCCCGAAGTCTTCGACTGCAAGGGCCGATATAGGGTTTGTTTGTTCGCTCGTTCGTTCCTCCTCCTCCTCCTCCTCCTCTTACTCCTCCTCCTCGCCCTCCTCCTTCTCCTCCTCCGCCTCTTCCCTCCTCCCCTCGTCCCTCCTCCTCCCTCCTCCTCCTCCTCCTCCTCCTCCTCCTCCTCCTCTCCTCCTCCTCCTCCTCCTCCTCCTCCCCTCCTCCTCCTCCTCCTCCTCCTCATCCTCCTCCTCCCCCTAATCCTCATCCTTCTTATCCTGCTCCTCCTCCTCCTCCTCCTCCTCCTCCTCCTCCTCCTCCTCCTTCTCCTCCTCATCCTTCTCCTCCTCCTCCTCTTCCTCTTCCTCCCTCCTCCTCCTCCTCCTCCTCCTCTCCCCTCCTCCTCCTCCTCCCCCTCCTCCTCCTCCTCCTCCTCCCCCTCCTCCTCCTCCTCCTCCTCCTCCTCCTCCTCTCCTCCTCCTCCTCCTCCCTCCTCCTCCTCCTCCTCCCTCCTCCTCCTCCTCCTCCTCCTCCTCCTCCTCCTCCTCCTCCTCCTCCTCCTCCTCCTCCTCCTCCTCCTCCTCCTCCTCTCTGCCTCATTACCTCCCCCCTCCCGGCTGTGGCGACAAGGAAATCCAGGAAGTCGTCGTCGTCGACGCCGTCGTCCTTGTCCTCGTCGACGTCGTTGCCCTGTCCTCGTTGGCGACGGGCCGATCGATTCACGAGATAACTATGCGGGGGACGGGTGGCGCCATTGGGTAGCGACCTTGCGGCACGCGTACGGTTCGGCAGCTGGGCTGTGCTCAAGCGAACTGCGCGCCATCAGAGCAGAGGGAAGAGAAACAAACTCCTCGTGATCGTCCCTCCCCCCCTCTCTGCCTCCCTCCTTCCTGTCCTCCACCGTCCTCCCTCCTGGACCGTGTCTCCCCCCTCCATAATCCTCAGCCGCCCCCAGGGATCGGTATCCCTGGGTCTGCGGCACATGTGGCAGGGCGCCATGCGCCGCCCGCCACGGTCTCGAAATCCTCAGTCTGGCGGCTGCTCTTGTGGTGCCTGGCCACTTGAAGACCTTCCTCCCCGAGAGGAATCGCAGCGCATGCTTTCACGATTCTCCCCCTGCCCGTCCTCCGCCTCCTCCATGCCCTCACCCTCCCCACCCCCATCCTCACCCTACCTCCCTCCGTTTCCTCGTCCTCCGCCTCCTCGTCCTCCGCCTCGTCCTCTGTCCTCCTCGTCGTCCCCCGCCTCGTCCTCGTCCTCCGCCTCCTCGTCCTCCGTCCTCCACGTCCTCCGCCTCCTGCCCCCCCCCCTCCTCCCCTTGTACGTCTATTGACGCTTTGCCGTCCCCCCATTCAACGTCCCAGGTCCTCCGCCCTCCACAACTAGTTCCTTCGTCCTTCCTTTTGTTCAATCATTCCCCTTCCTCTTCCTTCTATTTCCTCCGTCCTTCCTCTTCCTCCGTGTTTTCTCTTCCTCCGTCCGTCCTCGTCCTCTCTTTCCGTCGTTCCTCTTTATTCCTCCTCCTGTGGGCGGTTGGGATTCCCCGTACTATTCGGTTTCAGCGACGAGGGAAACGATGACTGCGGCGGCGGAGGCCGGGGCGTCGGCGACCCTGCCGGGGCACCCGCGGGAGGGGACAGGGGGTGGCCATCGACGCCATCCAGGACTTCGTGGAGACCCTTTTGAAGATCGATCAGCAGGCCAGGGGGGAGGAGTTGGGAGGGAGGAGGAGGAGGAGGAGGAGGAGGAGGACGACGACGACGACGAAGAAGAAGAAAAAGAAGAAGTGGACGAGGCGGAGGAGGAGGAAGTGGAGGAGGTGGAGGAGGTGGAGGAGCGGGATGTGGGGAAGGGGATGGAGGGGGCCCAGGAAAAGTAGGAGGAGGAGAAGAAAGAAGCGGAGGAGGAGGAGGAGGAGGAGGAGGAGGGAAGGAGGAAAAGGAGGAGGAGGAGAAACAAAATAATAAAGAGAAAAAGGACGAAGAGGAGGAGGAATTGTAAGGCCAAGGGTGGACGGAGGTGGAAGGAAAAGAGGCAGGAGGAGGAGGAAGAGGAGGAGGAGAAAGAAAAGGAGGAGGAGGAGGGGGGGATACCGCTTGAATTTCGCTTGCCTGATCCTCTCAGCCCTGAAGACGACGGCAGAGACGACGAAAATGAGCGTGCCGCCTACCCCCAGGCCTGTCCTGGGCGACAGAGCGGAGACTCCTGAAGCGCACGCGGCCGAAACATCGACCACTGCGTGACTAAAGGCGGCGGCGCGCTCCGCACGCCGCCGCAGGCCCGCCAGCCTCGCCCCAACGGGGGGTCGAACCACCGCGGGAGCTGTGAACCCCAGGGGGAGGAGAGGAGACGAGAGGGGGAGGAGACGAGGAGAAGGAAGAGAGGAGGAGGGGAGGGGCAGAGTTCCACAGCAGCCTCCCCCCCTCCACCGGGGGAGGAGCAACCCCTCCCGCCTCCGCCAGTCCTGCGGCCTGGTCCCCGCCTTTGCTGATACCCCGCCGATACCGGCGGCGCCGACCGCCCCGCTGGCCCCGCCAGTCGGGGGCGCCCCAGCGACCCCCGAGTCGACGACGGGGCCCCTGCCATCCAAGCGGGGGGGGCAGAAGGAGGAGGAGGAGAAGGAGGAGGAGGAGGAGGAGGAGGAGAAGGATGTGGAGGAGGAGGAGGGGGAGGAGGAGGAGGAGGAGGAGGAGGAGGAGAAGGAGGAGGAAGAGGAGGAGGAGGAGGAGGAGGAGGAGGAAGATGAGGGAGGAGGAAGGTCGGATGGAGTAGAGGAGAAGGGGGGGCGGACGGGGGAGGAGGGGGGAGACAGAGCATCTTCCTCATCGCCCGACTCATCTTGCTCCTCATCGTCCTCGTCCTGTCGTCGCTTCCCACGCCACTCCTGGGGCGGCTTGCGCTTCTCCTCCCAGAGCGGCTGGCGCTGTCTGCAGCTGCCTTATGGCGGCGTGGCCGCCCCCCCCCCTGCTGATACCTTCCGCCCTCCTCGATCGCCCTCCTCGCCCTCCGCCGCCTTCCTCGCCCTCCTCTTCCTGGCCCTCATTATCCACTCTCGTCGTCATGCTCCTCCTGATCCTCCTGTTTAAATTCGCATTCCTGTTCCTCTTCCTTCCCTTCCCCTTCCCCTCATCGTTTTATCCCTCCTCCTCCTCCGCCTCCTTATCCTTCTTTTCCTCCTCCTGCCCCCCTCTTCCTCCTGTTCCTCCTCCTCGTTTCTTTCTTTTGGGACTGACGACGAAGACGACGACGGCGTCTCACGCACGCCGCAGGGTCGGCGGGTTCCTGCCTCCCCCCATTCCTATTGCTTCCTCCCCCCGCCTCGTAATATGTTACTATTGTTTCCCAGTCCCTCCTCCTCCTCCCCCTCCTCCTCCTCCCCCTTTTCCTCCTCGTGTTCCTCCTCCTCGTCTGCGCCATCCTCCTGAGGCGGCTGGGATTCCTTCCCCACAGGGCGGTTGGGAATATTCCTCTCGCAGATGTCCGCGATGCCTAAATGGCGATTGGGCTTTTTCCTCTTCATCCTCCCCCACGTTGGCCTGTCCCGACTCTATGCGAAGGCGGTGGCGGGCGAAGGACCTCCGTACGCCTCGGCTGCTACAGTGAGCAGAAGGATGTTGTGCAACCGTGCAAAGAGGGCGCATATGGAGAAGAAGTAACAGCAGTGCGCTTGCAGCCTCTTCCTACTCCTATTGTGACGCGTTCAAGCCGGATTCGCCGACCCTGAAGGCGGGATCTCCCTTGGGAACCCCGCTGGCGCCCCCCCGGGGATCCGCCGAGACCCTTGGGGGGGGGACGGCGTTATGATGTGACCTCCCTCCCCCGGGGCCCCCGCTGGCGACCCCCCTGGAGGGGGTGATCCTCTTGCCCCCCTCCTTGTCAGGGAGGTGAAACAGGGGAGGTGATCGACCGAACTACGACGTTCATTTTCTGTGTCTGTTTCTTTCTTTATCTTGGGACTGGCGACGAAGACGACGACAGCGTCTCACACACGCCGCAGGGTCGGCAGTTCCCGGCCTCCTCCTACTCCTATTCCTTCCTCCCTCCGCCTCGTATTCTTCTTAGTATTAGTATGGTCGTTATGATTATTAGTCTGATGCTTCTTATTATTACTGTTATGATGATTATCAATATGTTAGTCCCCAGTCCCTCCTCCTGCTCCCCCTCCTCCTCCTCCTGTTCCTCCTCCTCCTCCTCCTCCTCCTCCTCCTCCTCCTCCTCCTCCTCCTCCTCCTCCCCCTCCTCTTCCTCCTCCTCCTCCTCCTCCTCCTCCTCGTCCTCCTCCTCCTCCTCCTCGTCCTCCTCCTCCTCCTCCTCCTCCTCCTCCTCCTCCTCCTCCTCCCCCTACTCCACCTCATTTCCAGGAGGTCTCTGGAGATCGCTGGAGGTCCCAGCGGCATCAGGAGGTCAGGAAAAAGGCTGAGTACTTCGAGCCTTGGGCAGCGGTCTTCAAACCTCGATCATCGATTCTCGACCTGGTTTGCTCAGAACTGGTCCCCAGACACCTCTCGATGTCCATCCTGATTGGTTGTTTCCGGGTATGAAGAGTTGCAGAGAGGGCCTCGCGTTCGAGGGCCGAAGGAGTTGGCATCTCTTCCTCGGCGGAAACTGGCGGAAGTAAAAAGAAGCCTCGACGGCTCAAAGGATCCTGCGCACGCTCAGGGCGTGCTGGGTCGCAATCCCCACCCCGACCATTTCCCCCCGATCTCCCCAACCAAGCTCGCGCGCGGCCCATGCGCGTCGGCGCCCAGGAGTGCTTGGTGTGGAACAACAGTTCCCAAGTCGGTGAGGTGAGCGCTGGACTACGGCACGATAGTCCTGGACCTGGAGATCAGACTCACCATGCCCATGACGGCCTCCAGGGAGCAAGTGCACTGGGGAGGCAAACGGGCCCTAACACGGGTTGCCCGGGCTCTGCTAGGAGACGGACGCGTGTGGTACCATGGCAGGAGATATATTCGGGCCAACGCCGCAGCTCTCCTCTCAGACCATAGACGCCGAGTGGTTCATGGAGTTGCTAGACCCTCCCCTTCCAGAACCTCCTCGAGGGCGCCGCCAGAGTGCCCACCCGAGTACTATCCTGATGTGGCCACCAGCGCCGCGAAGTATCACACCCGTTTCACTCGACGCACTCATCGCCACAAATTCCTGATGACCTCTTTGGGTATACGACTGCGAGAGTCTACTTCGAGCAGACCGTCTCGGAGACATACTTCGACAAGCTACCAAGGCGAAAGTCGCGGTGGCGCGCCTACAGAGTACACTCCTCGAATTTGGCCTCCCCTGGACTACGGAGGGACACAGGGTTAACCCTACACCCCGCACGACCCGCACCAGCCGAGACGGGTGCCTGATCGCCTTCAGTCTCCGCCACTTCCACTCGTCCGAGCTGCGAGTATCACATCACATACGCGGCGGGGGGGAAGGCTGCAGGGCGCCCGCCTCACGAGGAAAGGCCCCAAAGAACGCGACATCTACATCCTGAACGGATATGCCTCCCATGAACCAGGTGAGCCACGCGAGAATGGGAGCGGACGATCACGAAAGAATTGCTGCACATCGAGACTCCCAGAACAAGTATTGGAACCAATGCAGAGCTGCACTTCAACAGATCCCACGTCGTGCTGCCCTGATAGCCGCGATTGGTGCCAATGCCGCCATGCCCCCTCAATTACCACATGTTGGCTTGGCTGGACAGAGACGACCCCGCGCGGCTACCAACGGCAATGGCGCCCGCCGACTGGACCCGCTGCAGACTTTCAATATGGTGGCGCTCAACACGTTTGGCAGAGCGACAAGACACAATGGAAAGTGGAAGCATGCCACTGGACGAGGATGGGCCACCATCGATCATATATGTATTAGGTTATTTGGATCGCGCGGCAAGTGCGCGGCCCCGCCCAAGAAGCTCCCTGTTAGCATCGGAGGTTATCGAGAACACCGACCCGTCGCAGCACAGATCTTTGTTGGACTACGGACCCGCAGAGTACTCGAGGAGAAACCAGCACGGTGGGATCGCGATGCCCTGATGCACGGTCTGAAGCCCCTGGGAGACCCAGGCGCTGAGGTTCCCCAACGACTTATTTATATGTGAGTACAGGTTTCTGCTCTACTCAACCAACGCCACATCACGGGTCAGTGGCAGGAGAAATGTGAAACCAACCAGGGATATGCTACACCCTCGGGCTACTTCAGTGCCGTGGAGCACACGCTGATTGAGGCGGCGGCTCATTTTTACATCCCCCAGCCAAAGAAGAGAACACGCCCCAAGCTGACCGACGAAACCCTTGCCTTGATCGAGAAGAAACACCGACTCCAACGACACATGGCGGGGGTACTGGACCAGGACTCTGATGGCCACGCCCTCCTCCGGGCAGACTTCGACGACGCAGCCAAAGCAGCAGCCAGAGCAGCACGCGCTGAACGACGCCAGCGGCTCGCGGTCGCGGCTGAGGAGGCGGAGGCCGCGGATGCGGTTGGGGGCCCACGCAAACTCCACAGTGTCATTCGCCGCCTAGCCCCGAAGCCAGCTGCACCAGTGGCGACGGTCTGTGACCCCTCCCCTGGGAACACGCGCATGGAAGCAGAAGAAGAAGAATAAGCCGAATTCCGAGTCAGCGCCCTGCGTCGCATATTCGAGGGCTCGGCGATCGACATGTCTACTCCTGGTGGACTGCCTGGCTTGCTACCCCAGGACGACTCGCGCATGGGCCCATACAGCACAGATGATGTCAAGAGAGCCATCCTCGAGATGCCCAACTATATAAAAGCGCGCCAGTCCTGAAGACAACCGACTCAGAGGGCCTCGACACCATGGCCAAACCACACGATGGATCGGTCATGAAACTGCGGAAGCTACTGGTGTCCGAGACAGCCCCCGTTCTCCATGGAGTATTTCAGGCATGCCGAGCTCTTGGGCACTCAGCTCAACGGTTCAAGGACGGAGAAACAGCGTCGCTTCGCAAGACCAAGGGTGATGGCAGAAGCGCGAAGGACCACTACCGAACCATCAATCTGATCAACCACATTGGTAAGGTCTATATGAATGCGACAGCGATGCCAGAGCTTCGCGGCCTAGCCCCCCGTCCTTCACACTCGCAGTTTGGAGCACTGGCTGGCAGAGCAACCCGTGACGCTCTCGCAGTTGCGGCAGAGGTCATGCGACGTTACCGCCTCCATGTACGAACCTCCCGCCTGGGCAACAGTACGATGCCAGGGATGCCGGTGGCCGCCCTGATCGGCCTCGAGAAGGCCTTCGACCTGATCGACAGAGTCGAGATATGGATTGCCCTGGAGAGGCTGGCCTTGAAGCGACACGCCCGTCTTGCGGTCGAAGAACTCCACGAAGGCACGCGCTACATCGCCGCAGACATTCGGACCAACCAGCCCACCAAGAAGCTGCTGATCCCCAGAGGAGTGCGACAGGGAAGCGCGGAGGGCCCGCTCCTGTTCGTGGCCGCGCGCGACCTCCTGACCTCCAGCCTGGGGCAGAGCCGCGCCGTCTCCGAATTTACCGTGGTTTCTGTGGCGTTCGATCCGACATTGGAAAAGATTCGCCACCTCCATCTGCCCCCTGGGACTGAGGATGAGGAATGTCTGCCAGCATCCCCCGCAAAGTTTGTTGACGACTTGATTGCATTCACCATCGTCGAGGATTTCGAATCGGCATCGAGGTTCCTTTTCTTTTTGAAACGCGGGATCATGAAAGGGAAGACGAACGTGGATGACACGAAAACTGAGATGCTCACCGCCACGGCCGGCAGCAAAGGCAAAGCTCGCAAACCCACGATCCGCTCCAAACAAACAAACATTACCATGGGCGGGGCCCCGATCGACGCCGCCTCGAGCGCGAAATACCTGGGGGCAAAACAACGCGACGACAGCACAATGGCCGCGGCAGTCACCCACAGGACCCAAAGAGGACATGCCGCTGATTGCCCGCCTCGCCCGATGCGCATTCAAGGAACAGTTCAGCGTTAAACTTCGAGTTCGGCTGTGGTGCTCACTGGTCCGCTCGTCAGCACTCTACGGATTGGAAGTTGAGGTGCTTATTAAGCGCGATGCGACTCGCCTCGAGAACTGGCAGACGAGAAAACTGCGATCCCTTGCCAGATCACCCGCGCACGTGCATCATGAGAGTAATGCAGCAGTCCGCCAACAAACGGGTGTACCTACCGGAGCCTCTACTCTTTTGGAGCGCCGTCTTGCTTGGTGGCAAGGTGTCCTGCGCCCCGCCCTCCCCGACCTCCAGAAGCACCCTCAGGAGGACCTGGCCCAGGAGGGCCCCGACGAGCCCCCCGTGGACCCAAAGTACGACCCCACGAAGATTGCGCGAGCAGTAGTAGTCTCTGGCAGGTTCAACTTCGAGGGCCCCAAACACAAAGGGGCAAACTCACTCTTGCGAGTACTTCAAGATGATCTCGGACACTGTTGGAGGACCCTTCCCCCTAAACCCCAACAACAACAAGAAGCCCGTGTTGCTCACGACCTCCATGACTCCCCCCCGTGCCCCACTCGCCCCTGGCTTCGGCGGTTGCGCTGCATTCCCAGAGCCAGAATCAAGAATGCGAGGAGAACGGCCACGCATGACGAGGAAAGAGTAGCTGCGGGATTTGCCCCCCCCCCCACCCGACGCACCACTACCTTGCCCGACGTGCTCACGCATGTGCCATGGCCCAAAAAGCCTAGCAAACCAAATGTTTCTGGCCCATAAGATGTATGCGAATCTCACGGACCTCACAGATGAACAGCTACGCTCGCTGGCGTGCCCGAGGTGTGGGAACAGATTTAGCCGAAAGGACACCCTCGTCAGGCATGTACTCAATGGAAGATGTCGCACGCCTTTGTCGCCCTCGGTTCAAGCATCTGCGAGCCAAGCACCCGACCAGCCCGCCCCAGACCCCCCTGCCCCCTCGCCTCACCACATTCGCGACGATAGCGGAGATCAAGGGAGTGAAGCGCCAGAGCAAGACCGAGGGGGCGGGCCAGACGGACGCGTCGAACATCGACGAGATCCAGCCCAACGACCGCCTCCAGAACCGGATGCGCCGCCCCCTGCTCCAACGCGAGGCAGCCCGCCAAGCGGGCGCGAGGGTCGACAACTTCACCCTCGCCCTCAAGGTCGGCACGAAGCTCGATATGGCGCCGGAGGAAGGCCCCCAGAACTACATCGCGACAGGCAAGGCAGCGCGGGAGGGCGAGAACTTCCAGGGGCACCCTCTCGGGAAGAAGCCAGACGCGCTCCTGCGGAGCGTGATCTTCCGCCTCGCCGAAGCCTACACGGGCAACGCCAAGGAGGTAGAGGACGCGGCGAAGAACGGCCAGGCCCACGAACAGGGCCCAAACGCGCTGCAGGCGCTGAAGCAGCGGGGGGCCATCGCCCAGGACATGGACGCGATCGCGCGCGCGACGAGATGCTCCAAGGTCAAGCTGGCAGAAGGGGCCGAAGACCAAGTCCTGGATTTGGGCAGTCAATCATCACCTGGGCCTGAAGTCGGCGCTGACCGTCCACAGGACCAACGGCGCGCCCAAGGCTGCCCGTGTACTTATGGCACGCGACCGCGGGCAGCGCTCAAAGGTAGCCAAGCTGATAGAGGAGCTCGCCTTCAGAAAGAAGAAGAAGAAGAAGAAGAGGAGACAAAAAAAAAAAAAACGACCAGCAGAAGGCAGCCCCCAAGAAGCCGAAGAAGAAGTAGCTCCCTCAGACGGGACTCTCACGAGCTTGGTCAAGCGTCAGAGGACGAGCCGCGCTACGGACTAACACATGGACGGGCGGGGCTGTTGTCATGTTGTCTCGTGGTCGTGGGCGCTTCACACCATTTTCTCTCGTGGGCGTGACGAGTATCTCCGGCCTCGGCCGTGATGACGGTGGGGGTGATGCTTGAGTCTGGACGCCCGAAATGGGTACTGAAAGAATGGGTACTATGCCCAACAGCGGATCTTGTTCATTTTGAACAGGGCTCGCTGTCCACGCCGCCGCGGCCTGTGTCCATTCGAGACAGGAGGCCGCCTGCCCAACAGCGGCCGCTGTTGGTTTGGGACAACATTTGCTGTTGGGCATTGTACCCATTTTTTCGGTACCCATTTCGGGCGTCCAAATTGAGGTCGTGCCCATGAGCATAGCACCCACCTAACCGACTTCTCACCCACCTATGCGTCTTGCGGCCACCACGTCCACTTCCTTGGTGGGATGGCCCTCTGGCCGAGCCTCTTTGTGCACTTCGTGTTCGAGGGGCCGAACGCGTGCGTGATTGAGGCGGGGGGTGGCCGCCTCGGACCTGCGCGCTGCTCTCGGTTCTTTCCCGTGCTGCCCCTCGGTCTAGCCCTCTTGAGTCTTGCGAGTTGTGTTTGAGGGGAGCGGCCGCCCATGCCCCAGGGGGGGGCGAGGGCGCCGCTCTCACAGTGCGGCCTCCGCAGTGGCGGGGGCGCGCGGGGGTGGGGGCACGGCCCCTCCGCCCGAGCCCGCATGCGCACCCGTCGGCGGGCCCATCGTTCGGGATATTGGCTTCCGAAATGCGACGATTTCGGTTGAACCGTTTTTAGGCCCCTCACGAAGCGTCCTTCCTTGGAGTTTCTTGGGCGCACTGGTTGAAACAAGGGCGGTTCCGCCGGCGGAAGCCGGCGGACGTACAGGATGCACCGCCAAGAGATGGCAAGGCTTCTGGGTTCAGGGTCCCGGGGCCCGCCACACGGGCTTCGGGGGGTCCCCCGAGGTCCCCAGAGGCACTTGAAGGCAGCCAGAAGCCCCAATAATACAGAAAACGTCCAAGGGGACCCCCTGGCGGCAGAAGACGCCAAACAGTTCTTTAGACCACGGAAGATGCCATTGGAAGGAGAGAGAGAGAGAGAGAGAGAGAAAATATATATATATATATGAAGAAAAGAAACTTAGCACCATAAGGGGAACCATACGAAATACCACGATGGGGCGCCACGATGAGCCACCGATCTCGGAGGCTAGGTTTCCCTCACTGGCCATCTTAAATGAGAGAGACAGAGGAATAAGCAAGCAGCATGTTGCATGCGAGCTGTTTTGTGGCAAACTGTTCGATACCACATCCTCGAACCTCGAAGCGGAAGAGGAGGAGGAGGGGGAGGAGGAGGAGAAGGAGGAGGAAGAAGAGGAGAAAGATGAGAAAGAGGAGACAGAAGAGGAGGAGGAGGAGGAGGAGGAGGAGGAGGAGCAGGAGAAGCGAGGAGAGGGAGGAGAAGGAGAAAGTGGAGGACGAGCCTTCGACCTCCTCGATGCTTCCCCCATGTGGCCCTGCAGGCCCTGACCAGGAGCGTCTTCGAGGCGGTGGACGGGGAGTTCCGCGCCCTGGTGCGCTCCCGCGACCAGGAGCAGACCGCGAAGCGGGCGAAGCTCGCGGAGGCGGGGGGGCGAGGAGGGAGGGAGGGAGGGAGGAGCAGGGAAGCACTTTCTGCGCGAGGCACTTTCGCTGGTCAAGGTCCCTGAGGCCCGCTGCGCCCCGCCGCGCGCGCCGCCGCCCCTCAGGGCCTGCGAGCCGACGCGGCAAGGAGCGCCGAGCGTAGGCGCGGGTGCCTCTGCCCTATCTCCCCCCCCCCGCCCCCCCCCCGGCCCTCGCAGCGAGACCCAAGGTCCTCCGCGTCGCCCATGGCCCACCGTACCACTTCGTTGTGCGGGCACTCCTCGCGCAGGGGTGTTACCGCAGAGCACACGGTCAGCAGGCGCCCACCTCACTCCACAGGCGTGCTACCCTCTCAAACCGGAGCAGCGCAGAGCGGGCACACGCAAGGGACAGCGGCGACCCCCTCGGCCACCCATGTTTCTAGCGGGGCGCCACCAGACGCCCGCGCCAGCGCCCAGGCCTGGCAACGACGCCACATCGTACGCCCTCACGGCGCCCATCGTGCGCCAGGAGAAAGCGGCCCCCGCATTGGAAGCAGTCTCCGGTAGGGGGCGAGTCCATCGGTACCCACTGTTCCTTTCTAATGCTTCGAAGGTTATTTGATTTTCTAGGGGGTCAAGACCCTGTCATTTCTAATTGTTCTATCCTGGGCCTCTTCCTGGCAACTAGGGGGTCAGGAACAACTAGACACGAGCACAATTAGAAATGAGCACGATTAGACATGAACGACGTGTACCCAGCGCGCCCAGTTGCATGCTGAGCCAAGCTTGGTCGCACGCCTGGACGGCCGGCGACGCCACCGCCGCGACCGCCATGTCCGCGGGCGCCCAGGACCCAGGAGGAGAAGGAGGAGGAGGACGAGGAGGAGGAGGACGAGGGAGGAGGAGGAAGAATAGGGGGGGAGAAGGGGGAACCGTTGAACTCCGCTTCGGGGGAGCCTGAGAGGCTCAGCAGCCGTCCAGAGCCCCCAGCGGGAGAGGTGACGGAGGAAAAGAGAGTAGGGAGGACAACAGGAAAGAGAGGAGGGAGTATGAGTAACGAGGTGGGCAAGGAGAAGAGAGGAGAAGGAGGAGGAAGACGACGACGAGTGATTGGAGAAGCAGCATGAAATAGGATAGAGGAAGAGTGAGTGGAGGAGCAGGAGCAGGAGGAGGCGGAGGAGCATGAGCAGGAGGAGGAGGAGGACGAGGCGGAGGACGAGGAGGAGAAGGGAGGAGGGAGGGGGGGGGAAGGAGGAGTAGGGACGAGGCAAGAGGGAGGAGGAGTTGCGAGGTGAGCGAGGAGGAAGATGAGGAGGAGGACGAAGAGGAGCAGGAGGACAACAGGAAGGAAGAGATTGAGGAAGGCTGTGGAGGAAGAGGAAGAGGAACCGACGTAGGAAGGAGAGGAGGAGGAGGAGAATGAGGAGGACATCTGAGGATGAGGAGAATAGGGGCTCGAGGAATAATATGACGAGGCCAGAATGTTAAAGGCACGAGGAGGAAGAGGAGGAGGAGGGGAGGAGGAGGGGGAGAGGGCCTCTTCTTTCTCCTTCTCCTCGGAGTCGGAGGGAGGGGAAAGAGGAGGAAGCATGGCGAGGGGCATGAGTTGGAGAATGAGCAGCAGCAGGAGGTTGTGGAGGAGCAGATGTTGTAAGATCGGGAGGACTGGGGATGAGGATGGGAGGGTGGGGGGACGAAGAGGAGGGGAGAAGGATATGCAGGATGGGTTCGGGGAGGACGATAAGGAGACGGGAGGCGGGGAGGCTAGGAGTAAGATGAAGAAGACTGAGGGTGGGGAGGAAGATGTAGAGCATGGTGGTAATGATGATGGTCATAGTCGTGATGATTTTGACGATGACGAAGCCGATGTTGATGATGGTGATGCTGATGATGCTGATGATGATGCTGATGCTGATGATAATGATGGTGATGATGATGATGATGACGATGACGATGATGATGATGATGATGATTATGATGGTGATGGTGATGGTGATAGTGATGGTGGTGGTGATGATGGACATGATGATGATGATGCTGATGATGATGATGATGATGAGGATGATGATGATGATAGTGATGGTGTTGGTGATGGTGATGGTGATGATGACGATGGTGATTGTGATGGTGATGGTGATGGTGATCATGATGTTGCTGCTGGTGGTGGTAATGCTGATGACGATGGCGATGACGCTGGCGACACCAATGATTGTGATGACGATGGTGATGATAATGATGATGATGATTATGATGATGATGATGATGATGATGGTGATGCTGATGATGATGATGATGGTGATGATGATGATCCTGATGTTGATGATGATGATGATGATAATGATGATCGTCATCATCATCATCATAGCGGTGGTGGCGGTGGCGATGGCGATGGCGATGTTGATGATGATGAGGATGATGAGGATGATAATGATGATGATTATGATGAAAATGATGATGATGATGATGATGATGATGATGATGATGATGATGATGATGATTGTGATGGCGATGCTGATGATGATGACCACGATGACGACGATCATGAAGATGATGATGGTGATGATGGTGGTGATGAGGAGGAGGAGGAGGAGGAGGAGGTAGCGGCCGCCGACGCGGCCCTCCTTGCCGCCGCCCGCCGCCTGCGCGGCGCCCGCGGCGCCCGCCGGGACGCGGCCGCGGCTGCCCGGACTGCTTTGCCACGTCCGCGGCGCCAGGGGGGCGACCAGAGCCGCACCCCAGACCGCTGAGACGCCTCTGCGGCTACGCCGGCGCGCGCGTCGGCGAGGCCAGCCACCCTGGACTGCCAGCGGGGGGGCCGCTGCCATGCCCGGCCTGCTCGGTGCCGCTGCGCGCTGTAGCACTTGCGCTGCCTGCGGCGGGGGAGCGGGGCCTGGGGGGTGGCTCCAATAGTGCGAGGCCTGCGACGAGCTCGTCTGTCGGGCCTGCGCCGAGGCCACCGCCGCGGCTGCAGCCGCCGCCGCGGCACCCCTTGCTGGGGGGGCGGCGCTTGCTGCTGGCGCGGGGCAGGACGCTGGCGCCGGGGCGGCCGCCACGCCGCCCGCCGCCGCCGCCGCGGGGCACCCGCTCGCGCCAGAGCGGCCACTGCGGGACTTGACGGCTGCTTGCTGGCTGGGCCTGGACTCGCTGGACTTGACGGAAGAGCTCGCCGACGACTGCCCGATCCTACGCTACGTCCCCAGCGGGGCGCGGGCGGCTGCGGCTCAAGCAACGGACGAACTTTGCAACGCTGTGCTGCGAGCGCCACGCGGCAGCCCCGAAGAGGAGCGGGCTTGGAAGCTCCTCCTGCTGCGGGAGAGGCTACTTTTTGCGGCTCCAGTCCGCCGCAACTCGGGCTGGCGGCGCCACCCAGGCAGTGAGCCCAGCGTGAGAGCCCACTTGGTGCGCCAGAGGTGCTCCCTTCTCTTGCGCTGGGCCTGGGAAGAGCTGCTCGGCGACGCCCGCGGGAACGCCCGGGGCTTGGCGCGCCCGCGGCGGAAGGCAGGCAAGGGGGCCGCGGCCGACGAAAACCACCTCGCCGACGCGGTGGTCCAGAATGCGCTGGCAGAGGAATACTCAAGGGCCGCTGCGCTGCTCGCAAGCCCTGGGCTCGCCCCCCTGACGCGGGAAACAGCCTCCGAACTGCAAGGGCTTCTCCGCCCGCGCGGCGACGCGCCCCCTGCCCGCGCGCCGCGCGCGGAGCCCGCGGCGGCCTCTCTCGCTCGGGCACTTGAAGCAGACGCTCCGCCGCAGCCCCCGGGGCTATGGCGCGGCCGTGGGCGGCGGCCGCTTCGAGCACTGGCGTACTGGAGGATGACGGTTAATAAATGACGGGGGGTCGTGTTCACGCGGCGGCGCCCGGGATGACGATTAGAAAAAAAAACGGCCGCGGGCTGGAAAACTATGTTTTTTTTTAAAAATTTTTCTCCTCCAGTCAGACAAGTGTGCAGAAATAGCAGAAAACTATGTTTTGAATCATTCTCTCCCATTTCTTAATAAATCGTCACCCCGCATAATCTTACTCCCCGACCCAGCCGCTCTCGGCGCTTTCTACAGCATCTGCGACCGCCTGGCCACTGGCAACGTGCCGGACAGCGCCGCCGACGCCCTCGCTCTTTCCCGGCTGGCCCCGCTGCGCAAGCCCAGGGGCGGAGTCCACCCTATCGCCGCGCCGAACATCCTCCGCCGGCTGGTGGGGCGAGCACTTCTGGCCACCCGCAAAAGCGACCTCGCGGAGGCCTTGGGTAGGCAGCAGTTTGCGATTGGCACAAGGGCGGAAATCGAGCTCCTCGCCCACGCAACCAGGGCGCTCACGGAGGCGAGCCCCGACGTCGTCCTCGCCCTCGTGGCCCTCGATGCCAAGAACGTTTTCTGCTCCGCGCGCCGCGCCGACTGCCTCGCTGCCTTGGAAACGACGGCACCAGAGCTCCTCCCCTTCGCCCGGCTGTTTTTTTCTGACAGGAGCGGGCCTGCCACGCTCTGCTCTCGGCGGACGGGGTCGACCAGGGGTGCCCGCTGGCGCCGCTCTTGTTTGCCTGCGGCCCGGGCCCTGGTTTGTTGAGGGCACTGGAGGGCGCGCTGCGCGAGGCTGCGACGGCGCGGGGGCTTCGCGCTGACGACGTCCAGCTTCTGGCCTACCTCGACGACATCGTCGCGCTCGTGCCTGCCAGGCTCGCCGCCGAGGTGCTCCAGACGGCGGGCGAGGCGTTTGAGGCTTGCGGGCTGGAGCTCCAGGCACACAAGACGCAGGCGCGGTCCGCGCGCGCGCCCTGCCCGACTGGCCTCGAGGCCCAGTGGCGCGCGGCCGGCCCGACCCTGGTCGACGCCCCGCTCGGCCAGCCGCTCCCCCTGGGCAACTTGCCGGCCGCGAACGACGGGCGCCAGGTAGACCTGGGCACCTCGGCCTTCGCGGCCGACCGCTGCGCGGAGACTGCGAGCCGGGCCGCGACGCCCCCGGGCAAGCTGGCGCTGCTGCCGACGCAGGCCTCCGCGCACTGGCCAGCGACGCAGGCGGCCGCCCTCCT